GTTGGAGTTCTTGGCCTGTGCCTGCTGACCCTACATTGGGAGTGTCACAGGGCCCCTGTGAATCCATCACTGGAACCACATCCTATGTTCCCACCACTGTTAGTTTATGACTTTCTGTAACTATAAAAGTTTGTGGCATGTGACAGTCAGGGTGACAGGTGTTCCCAGGGCCAGAGTCACATGCCCTGGCTTGGCAGGAACCCTACCCCAATCTCTTCCTCCTTGTCAAGCTGGGTTCTATTTGACCAGAGAAACTGTTGAGCAAGCAACTGGCTGCAGAGCTGTGGGCAGTGAGTGGGGCCACAGGAGGCCCTGGGAGGCAGAGAAGCTGAAGCCTGAGTTCTACCTTAGGACTCTCCAGATCCTTAGAATGAGCATGGGCCCCTAGGTGAGGCTAGGGGTCCATCCCAGACTACTCATATGAGAAGTTACAAGTGTTGGTTCCAATCTTTGGCCCTAGACCCAGGAAGGCTGAGGCATGAGGTTGGCTTTAGCCCAGAATTGAAGGCCCAGCCCAAGTGGGCCATAGCAAGACCCCAGCTGTTTGAGCTTGGTGTGAGTCGGAGTAGGTGACATCAGACACACAATGACAGGTTTCAACAACTTTATTGGTTTCTGGGTAAAAAGTGTGAGGCCCTCCCAGAGCACAGCCTGGCAGACTGTTCTCTTCTGGAGTCCCAGGTACCGGGTTGAGGAACTCCAGGGTCAAAGAGAAGGCACACTGGGCCAGAAGCTAGGGAGGGCAGAATAGTCCCCTCCATGGGACAAGGAAACACATGAGATACCAATGAACAAGCCAGGGCCCTCAGGCAGGCCAAGGGGAACTCTGCACAAGCATAGCGGTGGCTTCCCTGGGCGAGGTGTGAACGGCCTCATGCCATCCAGCATTAGTTAAACTTCTTAAAAGAAAACAAAAAACCAAAAAACCAAAAAAACAAAAACAAAAACAGGACAGAGCTGCACCAGCTTTGCCCTCCCACCACCCCGAAGGCACAAGCAAGGAGGTCATAGAGGTGTCAAGGGTTACAGTGTTGACTGTGAAAACCCAGCTCTCTGTGAGTCCCCCAAAGAAGGTTAGGATGTAAAATCCTGAGCCCCAGTGTGAGCGAGTCAGGTCCCAGTGCCCGGCCATTACACACCCTATGTCCCCAAGTCCTGGGCAGAGCTGAGCACCTGTGCGTACCTCCCATAGCAGCTAACAAGTATTCTGGAAAACTGCAGAGCCTCCCCCTGGCTCTCAGTATTTTTCAAGGTTATTACTTTTAATTCTATGTCTGTGAGGGTTTGGTGTCTGGGTAGGCCAGGAGGAAGTGCTGGCCCCTGGAGGAGTCACCGCCACGTGGCTCCTGGGAACTGAACCCAGGTCCTCTGCAAGAGCAGCCAGTGCCTTCAATGTCAAGCCGTCCTTCCAGTCCCATGACCTCTTTTTTGCTTTTTGTTTTTCTGTATTTCAGCCTAGGCTTCTCCTCAGACTTGAGCATTGGAGTTATAATACAGAGGTACCAGGTTCCAGTTCTTACTCTTTAAAAGCAAACAAACCCCCACATTTTTATTTGGTGGGCCTGTGACTATTCACATGTACCACGGTACCTGTGGAGGGCAGAGACACCTTTGGGTGTCTCTCTTTCACTTGTGGTACTGTAAGGATGGAAAAATTTAGCCTAATTCTCCCTAGACTCTGCCCCCTAGCAGTGAGTAGGAAAAAGGTCATTCTTGACTGTTTAGGACAGGGTGGGTTTACCGACAGCACCTGTGAGTGAATGTGAACAGGAAATGAGCCATGCCACACTACCCAGAAGCCCTAGCGAAAGCAGACTTCCTGGGCTAAGCATGGGCTTGGATAGTTCAAATTGATTGGTCCGCACTGGATGCTATGAGATGATTGGTTTGTGATGTGCAGGATTTGTTGTAACCCTATAAAAGCTGTCTAAGTCCTGTACCCAGGGTTCCCAGTCCTCTGCCCCGCTTGGAGTATGGCTGTGGACCCCAGTGCACTGGAATATAAAAGACCTCATGCTTTTGCATCAAGACCGCTTCTCGTGAGTGATTGGGGGGCCGCCTTTCCTGAGTCGGGGTGTGAGGGTCCGCGCCCTGCACCCTTCGCGGGTCTTTCAGTACTTGAGGACCAAGTGGAAGCTTTTGAGTGTGGTGGTAACTGACTTTACCCACTGAGCCATCTTACCTGCCCCTCTTCTCTTCCTTACTCTCTACTTGTTTTGTTAAGACAAAGTCATGTAGCCCAGTCGGTCTCTGACTGACTATAGAGGAGGCTGGCCTTGAACTCCTGATTCTGCCTCCACCTCTACTGTCTTGATAACCAGACCCTTAGAGCCTGGAAATCTCAACACTGAGCTTGTGACCGACACCCCTGAAGCCAGGGACAGGCGCCACTGACAGGTGTGTCCAGTGGCCACTCAGGGAGGTTTTGGCTTTTCAAATCCAAACATTAAGTAGGGTTCATTCCCTACATAAACACATAAGAGACATGTGCCCTCCTCCAGCCAACACTGCTTTGGGAGGGGACATTTCACCTGACATAGAATAAAGCCCCCCCCCTTTCCTCTCCCCTCTCATCCTGTGGGCTGTGAGAGCTAACCTGAGTCTGTATTGGGGATGCCATCAGCACCCCAGGGGTCTGGGGTGCTCTCTCAGGTTGAGACTGGAGAAACCAGGCTTTGTCTTTTCATTCCTGGAAGAAACTTCTGAGCTCAGACTGTCCAAGGGGTAGGGAGGTCAAAGGTGCACTGTCTAGGCAGTGGGAGGGGGGCTCGCAGGGTGGAGGCTCTTTCCCTGCACACAGCAAGGTCAAACACAGGGCAAGGGCACAATCAGCCTGAGTACTAAGCAGCTGGCCTGGCTTGCAGCCCAGTCCACACAAAAGCACCTTCTCCTAGCCTCAGGAGTCCACCATTTTCTGGATGCTTATCATGCCAGCCATGAGCAGAGTAGAGCATTAGATTCCCCATTTTAGCTGACACTATCTGCTTCCAAGTCAGGTGTGCTGGCCCCTGGGAGTGGCAGAAAGGGATCTTCCTCAGTTACATAGTGAGTGTGAAGCCAACCTGGACTGCAGAACCAACACCAACAACAAAAACCCCAAAAGATCTAGGTCCCATTGCGGTGATCCAGGCTGACTTCCTGAAGCCTTTCTCTCCACATGGCCTTGGGGACATTGGAGTGGGCCCTGGGCACAGCAGGCTCGATCCACAAGCTACATTCCCCTGTCTAAGCTGACAGCGTAAATGAGACACTTTCTCAGCCTGGCTGCAATCCCAGATACCACCATCACTGTCCCTACTCATGTCCCGGGCTTCAAATCTATCCTAACAATTCTCTACCACTGTGCCCAGCCTGCCTTTCTACTTTGCCATGACCCCACCCACCCATCCTACCCTTTCTCTCCTAAGAATGGGGGAAGGAGCAGCAGCGGTGGGGGTGACCTGGTCCTTAAGTGTCAAATATGGCCAGGTTAGGCCTACACTTGGCAACTATAGACCTCCTGAGTCCCAGCTGCCAAGAAACAAGGAGAAAAAAAATCAAGTTTTTGGGCCAGGGCAAGGGAGTGATCAATGGATACCCAAATAAATATGAGCCCAGCCCTGTATCCTGAGATGCCCCTCAGCTCAACAGTGGGAACTGGCAAATGGAACAGAAGGCCTGTCTGAGAAGTATGTGGTGCTCCCACACAGGTGACAGGCACAGTGGAGACATGGGATTGGGATGCAGAGGCCACACCCTCCTCAGCCCTCCTGCCTCTACCTACACACATAGACACACGCACCCACACCCACGCACACCACCCCTACCCAGGGTCCTGCCTGAACCTTTGAGGAATTTGAGAGTGGAGGGCAGCCTGGAGCCCACCTGAAGACTTGACAGGAGTTGGGGACATCTGAGGCAGGAGGATCAGGAGTTCAAGGCAAGCCTGGTCTATACACAGTCCCAAAGTGTCCTGAGGGGGATCCCTTATGATTACCCCGGGAGAGCGTGCCAGCACAGGGCAGGCTGGAAGAGCCCTGATTATGTAAGTCTGCTAGCCCAGCCGCATCCACAGTTGTCTCCCCAGGGTGCCCTAACCTGAGACTTGAATGAGATATCTGGTGCCCAGATCTTTGTCTGGACACAAGGAAACTCCAGAGAGACAGGATGAGGAAGGAAGGTGGCCTGAGGAAATCACACCACAACAACATCTAAGCTGAACAGTAACTGGGCCAGGACAGGAGGGTCCAGAGTTCAAAGTCAGCCTCAGCTACGTATTTGAGTTGAAGGCCAGCTTCAGTGACCCTGTTTCAAACAATATGAAGGTATGGGGATGAGAAATTACCCTGGAGTCTAGATCCATCCAATCACACTTGGGGACAGTGAGTCCCCCACCCCATCCCTCCATAAAATAGAAGGTAGCAACCAAAATGCACATGGCTTCTGGTGGCAGGAGCTACACTTTGTCTTGGATGGAGTCTAGACCATTCGTCACATCCAGTCCCTCCTCCAGGCCTGGAAGTTCAAAGTCAGCAGGAAACAAAGACTGACTAGTTCCCAGGTACACTTCCAAACACAGCTCAACGATATCCCTGTGGCAGGGACATGCCTAGGTACCAAAGCCTCTGGTCCCAGGGGACACTAGAAGACATCTATCTCAAGATAGAGAAAATCTCCAGTTCAGTCACAGTGCAGTTCTGGTGCCAGGCAGGGCCAGTGTAGTGCCAAACATTTGTGCCCTGGCATTTAGGAAGTTGAGGCAGGAGAGTCAGGGGTTCAAATGGGTTATGTAGTAAGTTCAAATGGCCAGCCTGGGCTACCTGAGGCCCTGACTCAAAAAATAAATACATAAAACTAGAAAAGAAAGGTCAAGGTAGGGTCAGTGTGGCCCAGGGAAGGGTCAGGCCCTTGGTGGTGACAACAGCCTGCTCTTCCGAGCAAAGGGGACCACTATGGGAACCCAAATGATGATGGCATTTTCAGGGCATCATACCCCAGGAAAAAGAAAAGACACTTGTTGGTCTTTTTCTGAAGTTTTAACAATGGGAATTACTCTGTTCCCTAACCTAGTACTGGAGAAGGGAAAGGAGGGGAAGAGCAGGTGGGGTGTGGGGGTGAGGGACGACAGGACAGAAATGGCAGCCATGTTCCAGGTGGCTTTGGCAGGAACTGTCCAGAGTCTCACTACGGGCCAGCAGCTCTGACTCTGGTCCATAGACCTGGAAGAGCTGTGTTGGTGTCATGGTAGTGGCATGGCAGGTGTTCAAGCCACCAGCCTGTGGCCACCTCACCCTGGCCTTGGCCTCTGAGCACAATAGCTGTGTCCCCAGACACAGGACAATATCCAGAAAGAGGTCCCTCCATCCACCTGCCGAGTGGCCCACCAGGGGAGGAGCAAACGTGAGCCAGGGCTTTCCGTGGGCCCAGCTGTGTCTCCTCTCACAGCACTTGGGTGTGCGTGGCTGTCAGTGCTGGTGGCAACAGCTGATGTCCTCTTCCACCTGCTCCAGGACACCTAGCATCTCCTCGATGATGGCCCGTAGTGCCCGGCCTAGCTGGTCGGCATTGTAGGGCTTGCCCAGTGGGGGCACATGAACAAAAGCTGACCGGCCTCGGCCCTGGTAGAGTGAAGTGTAATAGGCGAAGTCACACAGGTACCTGAGTCAGGGGACAAAGGAAACACCAGGGACAGTGTCAGTTCCAGGCCAAGGCCACACCCACCCTCTGGAAAGTCCCCCAATGAGTCGGGAGGGCTTACAAGAATTTGGGGGACTCTGGCAGTCTTCTCTCCATTTTCTAAAACTTTTATTTTGCTGGGCATGATGGCACATGCCTTTAATCCCAGCACTCAGGAGGAAGAGGCAGGTGGATCTCTGAGTTTAGGCCAGCCTGGTCTACAGAGTGAGTTTCAGGACAGCCTGGGCTACCTAATGAGTTCCATCCAGGACAGCTTGGGCTACAGAGTGAGACCCTGTCTCAGAAACTAAGGCGGAGATGACAGGAAGACATTTGCTGTTCAGCCCCCAGACTTACTGCTGGAGGAGAAACCCAGCTACCACCCACCCCTTTAGGTGCCCAGAGCCCCACCTGCCAGCATCCTGGGAAATGGTGACAGACACGTCAAGCCCCAGTGTGGTAACCCTTTTGCACACAGCATCCATGTCAATGATGGAGTCGATGCTCTCGGGGCCATCCTCCACACAGCACTGTGAGCCAGGGCAGAATCGGCAATTATCCAGTCCCTTGTAGCCCTTGTTGTGTCCACATTTCTCCAGTGTCACTGTGGTGGCCATGCCTGACACCCCAACATGCACCACAAGCTGGGGACAGAAGGGAGGAGCTTAACAGGAGCAGACACTCACCCACACAGAGGGAATAGCAGCATGTGAGTCTTCCTGTTGTTGCTATAAAATTACTTATTTTTTTTAATGTTTTGGGTTTTTGTTTTGTTTTGTGCCCCCCCTCCACCCTGTCAGGGTTTCTTTGTATAGCTCTGGCTATCCTGGAACTATGTAGACCAGGTTAGCCTTGAACTCAGAGATCCACCTGCTTCTGCCTCCTGAGTGCTGGGATTAAAGGCGTTAGCCAGCACTGTCTGGCATATTATGTCACTGTTTAAAAAGCCCAGGGCAGCAGGGCATGGTGGCACACTGGAGGCACAGGCAGGCAGACCTCTGAGTTTGAGGCCAGCCTGGTCTACAGAGGGAATTCCAGGACAGCCTGGACTACACCGAGAAGCGAAGCCCTGTGGGGTAGTAAGAAGGAAGCCAAGACAGGTTTTTGTTTTGCTTTTGAGACAGGGTCTGATACAGCCCAGGCTGGTCTCAGTCTCTGTTGTCATCAGACCAGGTTCTCCCTGAATCCCTGACTGTAACACAAGTTCTAATACATCTTAATAATAACAACCCAGAGTCAGATATAGGGGAAACACAGAGATCAGAGAGAAGGAGCAAGCCACAGCCACCTTTACCTCACTAGCATCCCAGTTGAAAAGAGATGGGATTCCTGTCTCCTCTCTGCCCTGCCATCTTACTTCCTGTCTGTACGGATCTCCAGACATCTATGGTTAGCTAGTGGTTAATTCCACCCTCTATCTTCAGACATGCTTTATTTGTACAAATAGGATATCACCACATCTGACTGCTGAGGTGACTTTATTAATGTCATTACTTTATTAATACTTTCTTTGGTGGTGCTGGGTGGATGCCAGGGCCTCACACACTCGGATTTAACTGTAACTTACTTAAACCATTCCTGGCTGGCACACAGAGGGCAGCAATAGTGGCTGGCCTCCTCCTCTCTCCCATGGAGCTCAAGGTGGAGCTGGGGCACTGGGTTTGTGCTGGAGGTGGTGTGGCTTGAATAAGAATGGCCCCACAGGTTCATATATTTGAGTGCTTAGTCACCAGGATAAGGAACTGTTTGAGAAGGATTAGGAGGCATGGCCTTGATGAAGGAGGTGTCATTGGGCATGGGTGCTGCCCTCACAGGACAGAACAGTGACTGGGATGGGGGATCTTCAGGGGTGCCCCCGTGCACCACTCACCTGGGGACTGTGTTTCTCCCACAGTGCAGGGATGAGCCTTTGTACAGTCTGGTACTCCACAGGGATCTCATACACATGCAGGTCCACACTGTCCCCAAGTCCCAGCTTCTCCAGTTCCTGGGAGAAAAGACACCTGTGAGGTGGGGGAGGCTGCAAGAACACTTCTTGTCTTCAGACACAGGCAGCTCAGCTGGGTGTGATGCAAGCCTGCTACTCCAATATAGAGGCAGGATCAGGAGTTCAAGGTCATCCCTCCTATACCCAGAAAACCTGAAGATAGCCTGGTCTGCATGAGACCTTGCTCCCCCTCAAAAAAAAAAAAAAAAAAAAAAAAAAAAAAAAAAGGTATTGACTACACACACTCAACCCACTGAGCACCCCAGTTGGCAGTGGTGGGAGCAGCAGCAGCTTCTGCTTGTGCCCATGACCACCTCAGAGCTGCCTGGGAAATGCCTGGCTGCTTGGAGCCCAGAAAATGTCAGGCCTGGGGACAGACCCAGATCACTCTATTTCTACAGCTGAAACAAAATACCTGGGCCAGGTATCACTGTCATATCGCTTAGGATTGTCTCAACACTTAAGAGGCTGAGGCAGGAGGCTAGATTAAGTTCAGCCTCCTCCTCTAATAATGAATTCCAGGCCAGCCAGGGCTACATAGTGAGACTGTCTCACACAACAACAAACCAAAGAACATGGGTTTGGGGCTGGAGCTCGGCTGCTACAGTACTTGTAGTTCAGTTAGTAGAATGCTCGGTTAGCATGCAGGGAAGGCTCACAGGTGCAGCACCAGGTATGGTACTGCACCTGTGAGCCCAAACACTTGGAGGGTGGAGGTAGGGAGACCAAGAGCTCAAGGAGATCTGTCTCAACAAACACCCTAAACTCAAACAAAAAGCCTGAAAGAATAAAACCCAACAGAAGGAACAGTTTCTTCCTGGTTATGCTGGAGCAGGGGGTGTGCGCCACCTGCTGGGTGAACTGCAGAGGAGAGGCAAAGGGCAAGCCATCACCATGGCAACTGTATTTGATGGACTTTCTGAACTTTACTGGTTAACAAAATAGAAAAGCAAAACAAACCACCCCTAGTTAGCAGAGCAAGACATGTGCCTGTCACTCACAGGCTAGGGCAAGAGAAAAACCTAGGCTACACTGAGACCCTGTGTTGAAAATTGAAAACAGGGCTGGAGAGGCTCAGAAGGTAAGAGCCCTTGCTTGCTGCTCTTCCAGGGGACCTGTACCCACATCAGGTGGCTCACATCAGCAAGGGATCCCAGGCCTCGGGCATCTGGAGGCACTTACACTCATGTACATGTGCTGCCTCCTAACAGGTGTGAACACACACACATAATTAAAATAAATCTAATTTTTAAAAAGTCAAAACAAAAGGACAGGCTTGGTCCTACCCTGCTCCCCCCACTAAGGAGGTAGAGGCAGGAGGATCAGGACTTCAGGATCAGCCTGGTTTACAAATAGTGAATTGAAAGCCATCCTGAGCTACATGAGAAAAAAAAGAAAAAAAAAAAAAAAAAAAAAAAAAGCCAGATTTGGTGGCACAGGCCTTTGATATTAGGACTAGGGAGGCAGAAGCAGGAGGAATCTGAGTTCAAGGCCAGCCTGGTCTACAGAGTGAAAAAACAGACTAAAGAAACCCCCCACACATACACACACACAAAACAATAGCTGGTGTTTGTGACCTCAGTTCCTTCCCAACCTCTCATATGACCAGGATAAGCAATCTGCAGCAGAGAGCTTCACCTAGAAAATTTGTGGGTATAAGAGGGGGTTTAATGTCCCTAAGAGGCCTCCATCTGGAGACTCAGGTCCTTCAGCACTGACATGCTTTCTGTGAGGACTCTGGCTTGACAAAGGAGAGTGTATTGGGGACTAGTCACAGATATGGGGTATCACCCTTCATCCAACTCTGCCATTTGCCCTGACCCCTGGCTCCCACCCCCTGCATCCTGGCTAAGTGCTCAGCACCCTGGAAAGCACCAGACTGGAGGGTGCAGCTGTGGCATTGTTCCTGATCATCTACCTGAAAAGACCCTGTCACAAAATCAGGCAAGGCTGCAGGGTACATCTGACCGAGGCCTTTGACCTTGTCACAAAGCCCTTCTTTGTTTATTGGTACTATTCCTCAGAGGGTCTGTCTAGACTTGTGGTGGCAGTAATTATCCCAGGATGTCACCACTCAGGAACAGACTTCAAAATAACAAGTCCGAGGTTTCCTGGCCCTTTACACTCACCTGAGTCTCCAGGAAAAGATGTGCAGTCTACCACCCCCAACCTGGGGGAAGGAAGACAAAGCTGGGAGTGAAAGTGCCCTCTGGGAAACTGAGGCAGGAGAATTACCTTGAGTTTGAGGCTAGCCAAGACTGCAGAATGAGGTCCTGCCTGAAAATTGATTGATTAATCAATCAGACAAAAGTGCTAAGCATGACGGTACACACATGCCATCCCAGCACTGGGGAGGCTGAGGCAGGAGGGTCAGGAGTTTGAGGTTAGCCAGGATGACAGTCTGTCTCAAAACTTAAAAAAAGAAAGCACAGTGCATCTGGGAAGATGGTCCAACTGGTAACAGAGCTTGTGGCCAAGCCTAGTAACCCAGGTTTGGTCCTGAGGACCTACAGAGTGCTCTGACCACCTGTGTGTACCTTTCCATGCACACAATAGACAAATGTATAAACAAATGAAAATTTTTAAGGAATAAGATGAGAAAAGTCTGGGTTTCTGTGCAAAATGGAGGTTTCCCCTCGGAGCCCCAAAGCTGGTTTGGGAATTCTGAAAGATGGTTTAATTGATTTTGCTTCCTATTTACATGCAGATAGTGGCGTCTGGGGCCCAGGAATCCAGACACTGGCTTTGTGTCCACTCAGCCCGTGAAGCCTCCTGTCTGCAATTCACACAAAGCCAGACACACAAGTCTTCAGAGACACACAGGTTCTTTTGTCTGGGGCTCTGGGGAGTGGGTGTTCAAGCAGGGGCCCGGCCACACTCCCATCTACAAGGTCCTGGGGATCCTGGGGTCCTTCATCCTGCTTGCAGAGTGCAGATGGGAAAGAAAATGGGGTGGTGGCAAAGCAGCCTGACTTTTGAGGTGGGGATGATGACAAGCTGGTGGCAGGGGATGTGGGAGTCTTGAGTGGGAAGATGGAACCCTTAAATCACACAGCTAATGGGCTAAAATTAATCCGAGCCGGGCTGCTGTCTCTGCCAGTTGATTTATCTAAGAATCAAATGTCTGTCTCTTTCTCCACTCAATTGTCCCCTAGCCTGTCTGTCTGAATGTCCCATCTGGCAAGGAAACACAAGTGAGTGAAATTGCTCCTTGGATGGGACTCTGGGAAGAGACCCCCTCCAGAGGCTCCCAGTGCAGAGGCTGAGGGTCAATGCCCTCCTTCCCAAGGGGTTAAGCTATTGCCCATAATGCCTGTCTGCTCTCAAGCAGCACAGACCAGGGCAGACCCAGCCTTCTCAAGTTAGTTTTGTTTTTTAGCAAGGTTCTCACTGTGCAGCCCTGGCGGTTCTAGAACTCACGCTGGTGTCCAGGCTGGCCTCCAACTCAGAGATCCAACTGCCTCTGCCTCCTGAGTGCTGGGATTAAGGGTGTGCACCACAGCACCAGGCCAAGGGAAAAGGTTTTCAACCAGGTCTGATTCTAGTACTCAGGAAGCTGAGGCAGGAAGATCATGAGTTAGCCTAAGTTATACAATTACTAAAAGAAAAAAAAACAGGTGAAAAAAAAGCACTCAACACATGAGCTGGATTGAGTCTCATCTGGGATGTTTACATTGTGTTTAAAGGCACACAAAGACACTCAGCTCTAGAGTGGGCTCCCCTCCCAGTCCAGAGTTACCTGGACAGCAATCCAGCTGGCGTTCACAGTGTGCTCCCCAAAAGGGCCAAACCCTGAAAACAGAAAAAGCAATGTTACTCTCTCTTCCCACCCAGAGTTCTGAAATCTCATTCCCCATCCCCTGACACACCTCCATACTACTTTATCACCTAGCCAGTCCTTCCCAGTAAGGCAGTGGTGGGCAGTGACCACCTATGGATTCCAGGCTGCCTGGGACTAAAGGAAATTCTTTTGTCTCCACCTGCTGAGTGCTGGGATGATAGACACAGGCTGCCATGCCTGGCTTCCTTATCTGTTAGGGCTTCACAGGAAGAGGGCCTTTCCCTTTGCTGCTTCATTCTCCAGCCAGGATGTGAACTATGGCTATTTTCTGATTGTCTGTGCCAGGCTGTTGTCCGAATCCAGGAACCCAGTATTGTGGGTTCCCACTACTCAAGTCGTCATCTACTTGGGGATTTTCTCAGAGGCTGTGGGGGAGTCTCTCCAGGCCAGGTTACCTGAACAGCTGCAGGCTCCTGGTCACTTACCCTCCAAGCCCCATCTCTGAGTAAGATAGACTAAAGCATTGTGGCATTAGGTTTGAAGCAGAGAGGCACTAACTCACTGAAGTCTCACTGATAGAGAGTGAAATGCGGGATTCAGATCCATACTGAGTAAGCTGGCCTACCTCTTCTAGCCACTGAGTTGCCAAAAACCTTATATATTGAGAAAACAAAAAAGGAAAATAAAAAACATCCCACCCAGCTCCTGGCTCTGGGTGCTATGGCACACACCTCAGATGTAGTGTCTTAGAGGCCAAGGAGAGAGAATTGTGAGTTTCAAGCTAATCCAGGCTACACGAGATGCTGTTCTAAAATAAATATCTCATTGTGTAAAATGTTTGTCACAAAAGAACCTGAGTTCAGACCTACATCAAGATATGCAAGCACAGTGTGGTGACACACACTTGTACTCCCAGAGCTGGGACAGTAGAGCCAGATAGATCCCCAGGGCTGTGGCCAGTCAATCTAGCATAATAGGCAAGTCTTAGTATAGCGGTCTTCATCCTTCCTAATGCTGGGAACTTTAATACAGTTCCTCATGCTGTGGTGACCCCCAACCATACAATTATTTTGTTGCAACCTCATAACTGTAATTTTGCTACTGTTTTGAATAATAATATAAATATTTGTGTTTTCCAATGGTCTTATAAGACCCTGTGAAATGATCATAACCCACAGGTTAGGAAACATCACCTGACTGGCTCCCAAATAAGAGACACTTTCTCAAAAACTCAACTGGATGGACTCTGAGGAGTCACACCCAAGTCTGACCTCTGGCCATGACATGATCATGCAATCACACCTCAGGTGGTAAGCTGCCCACCTGCAGCCAGTGTTAGAGATGGCCACCATACCTCAGGACAGCAGGTAGGGACTACATTCTGGGGTCACCTCGAAATGGTGGCACATACTGCTCATCTTGGCATTTGTGAGACTAAACAATCACCCAGAGTTTGTAGCCAGCCTGGGTCACAGAGTAAGTTCCAGGTTGGTGGGCCAGAGCAATAGAATCTCTCAACAAACCAACCAGCCAAATAAACCACACACACACACACACACACACACACACACACACACACACACACCGCCCACCAGAATGCTCCAACGGATCTGGACACAGCCACTGACACCTGTCCAGCAGGGAAGCAGCTTCCTCCAGTTACGAGGAATTACAGCCATAACCTTCCTCAGTAACAAAACACCTGTAGGAGTGCCCTTATCCAAGGCCTGGCAGAGTTACTCTACCAAGTGGCCCCAGGCTGCATTTCAGGAAATAAGTACAGTTAGCTTCCGGGGGTGTTGGTTACAGTAGGAACTGTGCTCAAGAGTCCCTGGGTCATTCTGGGGTCAGGTTGATGCAGGCCCTCAACCTGCTCTAATCCGTGTTGCAGGTTCCCCAACAATGCAGGCTGTTAAGAGGACTGTGTGTCACCTGGACTTTTCCTGGCCATAAATTAGTCTTTGTCCCCGAGGTCAGGGAGCTCTGGAGGGGCGGGGAGGGGCTGCAGCGCAGGAGAGGTTCTACCTGCATCCCATCTCCTTGCACCCCGAACTCCCGGCCGCGGGACCTCGGACTTTTCAGGTCACCAGGACCGAACGGTGCTGTCGCGGGCGGCGACAGACTGCAAAGCTGTGGCAACCGCAAGCACCTACCCCGCCGCCCACGGCCCGGCCTCACCTACCGGTCACCACCACCGCCTTCCGCGGATGCTCCATGGCGGGACACTCTCACTAGAACCGCGGATGCGGAGACTGGAGCGGACGCCGACCCGCGAGCCCCGCCCGGCCGCCCGGCCCCGCCCCCTAACGCTGGGCTTGCGCGGCCACGCCCAGGTCACACCCCCGAGCAGCTGTGCGCAACCCTGCGCGTCCCCGCGGGTTCCGCCGAGCCCCAAGCGCTTCGCTACTCCTTCGACCCAGAGCCCTGGACCAGCCATTTCCCTGAGCACACCCCCTAGAAACCACACCCCCTACCCAACCCCGCCCCCGAGCCTTCCAAAGCCCCACCTCCAAGTCCTGCATGGGACCCGGCACGCCCCCAGCCGCGCCCCCGATCACCACCACGCCCTGAGCCGTGCAAAGCTTCTCTCAGGCCTGGTCAGGCTCCCACTGCCCCAGACTCCCAAGCCATGCCTCTACCCATCGTTGAGTTCTTCAGGCTCAGGTCACGTACCCTCGCTTGTCCATCCCAGTGCAGCTCCGCCTTGAGCCTTCCAAAGTCCCTTGGTCCCCACCCTGGCTGTCCCGGGCTCAGGTCACGCCCTCCAGCATTTCTCACTTCTGAATTCTAGACTCCGCCCCGGGCCCCGCCCTAAGACCGCCCAAGCCCAGGCAAACCCGCCCTCGCTCTATCAGCCACTGAGATGCAGGCGGGGCTACCTGGTCCCCATCTAGGACCCGCTCCAAGCATAGCCCGGCCCTGCCCAGACTAACGCTTCCCGGTGCCTGGCCACACCCATTTTCTTCCAGGACCTCCCCCTACTTGTTCTTGAGCCAGCTCCGCCCCAAGCCCCGCCTCCAACGCTCTAGGGGGCAATAGGAAACTACCCCTCTCCACCCTTCCCAGCCTCACTAAGTCCTGTAAGAAGGGGACGTTGACTTTATAGGATGTAGCCCCTTAAAGCTCTCACACAGGGCCAACTAGATGAGGACGGGTTGATCATTTATTTTGTCATCGTCCGTTAAACGCAGACTGTATGCCTACTTCTCATAACAGTTTGGACGTGGGAAGCCGGGAACCCTTTGATTACAAACAAAGACACTGGAGCGTGGATCAGAGCTGATGGGAGACAGAGGGGTCACTCTAGCATGAGGCTGAGGGAGAGGCTCAGGAGGAAGCATAAACCCACCCAGTGCTTTTGCTCAAGGAAGCTAATTGGCCCCAGGTCCGCTACTTCTCCTAGGTGGCTTTTGGTCACACGCCACCCCAGGGCCTTTGCTCAGCCGTACACGTGGCTGTTCGCAGGCTAGCCTTCCTCCTAACGGGCCTTCTCCAACTGTCATCTCCATTAAAGGAAGCTTCCTTCCCACCCTCAACCCCCACCCGAACCTCCCCTGGCTGTCACCTCTATTGTCTGCCCACCCATTCTCTCCCAGAAGCCCTATATTCGTTACTGCGGTGTGTTCCTTTCATCTATTTCTCCGAACTCCTGTCGGAGGGTAGTTTGACCACGCTACCACTGGGCACAGCCTGTTATCTATTGAGAAGAAGGAGGAGGAGGAGGAAGGAGGAGGAGGAAGAAGGGGGAGGAGGAGGAAGAAGAAGAAGAAAGAAGAAAGGAAGAAGAAAAAAAAAAACAGAAAAAAAGAAACAGAGCCCCCTAGCGGTGTCCCCAGAGGCAAGGCTGGGCCTTGCAAGCCACAAGCATGGAGTTCCAAGGAGTTGTGACCCCCATGTTCCAGGACCATGGAGGGGGGCTGAGCCCATGCACCAGCCACACATTCTTTCCCTGACTCCTGGTATATCAACTGACAACATGACTGACTGCTCCACAGGGAAAGAGATCCAGAGAGAGAACATAGAGACATCTGCAGTGTCCAGAGCAGAGAGACAAATAAGTAGCCTGGACATGTCCAAGGCTATCAGTGATAGAGAAGACTATCAGGGGATAGAGAATAGAGAAACAGAGCAGGAGCAGAGAGAGGGGAGAGAGAGAGAATGGGTCAGAGAGAGAGAGAAAGAGAGAGAGTGCAGAGTTATAAAGAAAATGGGTATTTGGACAGAGTTTAGGGGAGGGAAGGGAGGCTAGGATGGACTTGTACTGAGGGACCCAGAGGCCACCATGGGCTCCAACATGCTGATAGGCACTACAGGTAGCCATGTGTCCCTATGGCTAGCCATAGGGAAATGACTCCTTTTAGTAGAGAGGAGCCAGCTTCACAAGTTCCCAAGGAACCTAGTATCACGGTTAAAGTTTGTTAAGAGGAGACTTGTGGAATTACTGGGAACACAAGACTAAACGCGCAAGCAGGGCGGGTGCTGAGCGGCTCTGCGTGAATGCAAAGTGCAGTGCGGAAATGGGCAAAAAATGAGAAGCGTTAAGTGCCTTCTCAGGTCCGCTTTGGCGGCAAAGATCTCCTTTGCCGTAAGGAAGAGGCAAATGTCCCAAAGCTGTGGTGAGTCCACCTGGTTAGAGGCAAATGTCCCAAAGCTGTGGTGAGTCCACCTGGTTAAACCCTGCCCGTTGGGGAAGGTGGGGTAGGGGAGTGGCTTCTGCCGCCTGGGTGAAACCCAGGTCCCGTGAAAATCCTAATCCTACTTCTGACACCAGATATCGCGGTTAAATAAGGATCAGGATAAACAAATAGGCCGAATAGATGTTTATTCAGGGAGAAACAACTTACAACCTAGACAGATGAACACCAGGAAATTCAACCCGATGCTCTCCTGTCCAGTCACACCAGCAAGAGAGCTTTTCCCGGTTCTCTCTCTGACCTCCTTCCACAGGTCACTTCCGCCCATGGCTCCACCCCCAATGGGCGTGGTCAGTGCCACAGAAGGACTATCTCACTACAACCTAGCTTCTATCTAACTTCCAGAAACCCTCCTATAGTCCAGGCTGAGCATTTTTCTGGACATTTGAACTGCTTGCTGTTGGCATTTGCAGAGTCTGCTGTGGGGCTGACATGGGGGGAGGCCAGTGTGCAAATCCAAGCTGGAGGCCCCACGAGGCACAGCCATTTGGTCTCTGGCAGCCTCGGGGACACTCAGAACTCACCCAGGGCCTAGGCCAACCACACCTTCACCCCATAACCCTGAGGTACTCAGAGGGCCTCCAACCAACGATGGAGCACAACTCCCCAAGGGGCAGGTATGAGGGAGATAGCTCAAGGGGGTACAGTGGCCCCAAAGGGTAAGGGCCTGAGTTGAATTCCCTACATAAACAGCCATGTATGGCTGTGCACTGGGGGTGGATACCGAAGGGTCCCTGGGGCTTGCCAGCCAGCCCAGACAATCAGAGCGCTCTGGACTCAAAGAGACTGTGCCTCAAAAACTGAGGTGGAGACCAATAGAGGAAGAAGACCCTGTATGGTCTCTGTGCACACACATGAAATTACCCTACCAGGGTGAACACAAAGAAGGGCCCAAGGAAGCCCAGGGAACCTGAGGGTCTCCAGGCAGTTTGTAGCTGCTGGAGCGAGAGGCATTATCTTCAGTGTCACAGCATCTATGCTCTGGTACAGACACTCATTAACTCTGGGTCACAAAGAATGAACAAAAGGAAAAAAGGAAGGATGGAGAAGGAGGGAGGAGGGAGGGAAGCCAGTCAGTACAGATGGGGTGCCAGGCACACCCAGTAGTCCAGTGGCGAAGGAAGCTCCTCCCCAGTACCCCACTGTGTGTCATAGCCCTGGGCTTCAACAAACCAAAGAAAAGAGAAAGGCTGGGCTGCGGCTCAGAGTATTAGATATATTATGAGACAGCAATGAAAACAATTTTGTAAATCGTTATATCTAATTTAAACCCAGATGCTAAGGGTGGGAATGAGAAACTGTTACTTATACTGACCCTGTTCCCATCATCTGCTAATGTTGATCTCAGGACAGACTACCCTATCCAATGTGGCGTTGCTTGGTGACTCTGAGCCCCCTCTCCTGGTCTGGCCTGCTTGCTTGGTGTGTCACCTTCTTGGGGGACACTCAGTGGAAGCTGGGGCCACATAGAAGCATCAGGTGAGGTTTTCTGGAAATTCCAGGACACCTGCATCTCATTTGGGAGGGGCCCTCCTGGTCAAAGTCCTTCTGAGGAAGCCAGCAACTGTGCCATCTTCATGGGCAAGCCGGGGTTCCACCTGTGCCATTCTGAGTCATTGCCCTCTGTACTAAAACCAAGTCATTATGCCTAGGACAGCATATTCCTTGGGAAGGGGCCAAAGGATATTTGTCTGGGAGTGGAGCAGACTGCAAACTAAAGCTCCTGTGTTTTCTTCTTACTATTTTTTGTTTTTTGTTCTGTTTTGATTTTACTGAGACAGGATTTCATGTAGCTCAGGCTAGCCTCAAACTTATTTTCCAGAATGTGAGATGACAGGTGTGCATTGCTGTGCCCACGGCACTCTGCATGTCAGGTCATGCCTCAACTACACCAAAGCAGCATCTATCTGGTTCCCTCCCCCACAGTTGTACTCCAAGCTTAACCATGTGTGAGCTGCTTCTGGCAGGTTTGGCGGTCCCTACTTTCCATTTTAGCACACAGAGTGCTGGGATTTCAGATGAGTGCTTCAGGCTTTTTACATGTGTCCTGGGATTTGAACTCAGGTCTTCAGATTTTCACAGCAATCACTTCTATCCACTGAGCCATCTCCCTCCTCTCTGTGCCCAGCCCCCTCTTCCCTAAATAATGCTGGCAAGGACCTTTAATTATACGTTTGTGGGGGGAGTCCTGCGGATGCCTGAGGCCAGAATGAGCATGGCATCGATTCTGACCCCCAATTCGAGTTAGTACAGGTGGCTGTGAGCCATCATGTGGGTGCTGGGACCCACATCCCCTGGAAGAGCATCCAGTGCTCTTAACCCCTGAACCATCTCTCTGCCCCAGGCAGGTTTGGGGGTCTTATGTGTGCTGCTGTCTGACACCCTATTTTCAACACCTGGCAACACCTGGGTGTGGAGTAGACATAGATGTCCTGGTGTGTTGATGGCACATGCTTTCAGTTCCTAGTCTGAATTTATCATTCCCCTGGAAACAAGGGTCCAATTGAGCTGTTTGACAACCTGCTTGGCATCACTCAGACCTTCCCTGGAGGCCTGGAGTAAAAGGACACCAGGCCACACTCCCACAGCCCCACTATCTGGAACATTTTG